ATCTTGCATGTGCCATGATCCCATGTGGGAGTTTGTTCATACCCCAGTTGTTACACTCTCATCCAGCTCCCTCCTAGTAGCCACAGAAAACAGAAAATTGTCCACACACCTGGGACCCTGCACCCACGTGGGAGACCCAGAAGAAGCTTCTGGTTACTGGCTTCAGATCAGCTCAGTTCCAGCTGTTGTAGCCATTCAGGGAGTGTATATCCGCCTTTACAATGAAAATAAATAAATCTTAATTTTTTTTCACTGGAAATACAAATCAAATTTATGGGAAGAAGGAGACAGATACTCCATTTTGTTTTGTTTTTGCTTTACTCCCCACCTATCAGCAACAGCCAGAGCTGAGTTTGTCTGAAGACAGAAGCCAGGTACTTCTCCAGGTCTTCCACGTGGGTGTTACGGTCCTAAGCACTTGAGCCATTCTTGACTGCTTTCACAGGCCATAAGCAGGGAGCTGAATGGGGAAGCAGAGTAGCCAGGACGTATGGGATCCAGGCACTTGCAAGGTTAGTATTTAACCATTGGGCCATCATAATGGGCTTCCAATAGTTTGTGTGTTCAGATTTATTTTTGGGGGGCCCGGTGCGGTGGCGCAAGTGGTTAAGGTCCTCGCCTTGCACACCCGCCCGGGATCCCATATGGGTGCCGGTTCTAATCCCAGCAGCCCCTCTTCCCTTCCAGCTCCGCACCTATGGCCTGGGAAAGCAGTTGAGGACGGCCCAAAGCTTTGGGACCCTGCACCCGCGTGGGAGACCCGGAAGAGGCTCCTGGCTTTGGATCGGCATAGCATCGGCCGTTGCATTCACTTGGGGAGTGAATCATCGGACGGAAGATCTTCCTCTCTGTCTCTCCTCTCTGTATATCCGCCTTTCCAATAAATAAATAAATAAATCTTTAAAAAAAAAATTTTATTTTTTGGAAAGGTGAGTGACAGAGGGGAAAGATCTTTATCCACCAGTTTACTCTCCAAATGTTGGTTAACAGCCCAGGTTGGTCCACACCAAAGCGAGGAGCCAGGAAATTCATCCAGGTCCTCCAGGGTAGGGGCACAAGCACCAGGGCCATCTTCATTGCCTTCCCAGGCAGCGAGTTGGATGTGATAAATAGTGGCCAAGATGTCCTGCTATCAGATGCTGGCATCTCAAGTGGCAGTAACTTGTAATGCAACAATACTACTACCATTTCAGGCACTTTAATATAAGAAAAATACACTGCTGGGACAATAGCAGCTAATAGCTGGCAGGCATTCCTGATCTGGTTAATGCCAAATTTGTGTTAACTATACCAGTGTGCCAGCATATTTGCTTCTTTCATTTTCTTTTTTTAAAAGATTTATTTTTATTGGAAAGTCAGATATATAGAGAGGAAGCGAGACAGACAGGAAGATCTTCCACCCGATGGTTCACTCCCCAAGTGACCACAATGGCCAGAGCTGCGCCGATCCAAAGCCAGGAGCCTGGAACTTCCTCCAGGTCTCCATGCAGGTGCAGGGTCCCAAGGCTTTGGGCCATCCTCAACTGCTTTCCCAAGCCAGAAGCAGGGAGCTGGATAGGAAGTGGGGGCTTTTGGACAACAAACCAGTGCCCATATCGGCACATTCAAGCTGAGAACTTTAGCCATTAGGCCACCGTACCAGGTCCTTTATTATTTTTTTTAAAGGTTTAATTTTTATGGGAAAGTCAGTTATTTTTATTGGAAAGTCAGAGAGAAGGAGAGACACTGAGAAAGATCTTCCATTCGTTTATTCACTCCCTGAGCAGCCGAAACAGCCACAGCTGCATCCAGCAGAAGCCAGGAGCCTGGAGCTTCTTCCGGGTCTCCCAGGTGGGTGCACTGTCCCAAGGCCGTCCTTGACTGCTTTCCCAGGCCATAAGCTGAAAGCTGGATGGGAAGCAGAGCCTCCAGGATTAGAACTGGCATCCATATAGCACGCAAGGCAAGGACTTTAGCCTCTAGGCTATCATGCTGGGCCATATTTTCTTTTTGAAGATTGGGACAAGGACAGAGGCTGGCATGACAGCACACAGGGTCTGGAGACTTGAGCACAATTATATGTGGGCCCTGTGTGGGCAGACAGGACCCAGGTAGGCATGGCACATCACCGGAGGACCAGGCTTACGGGGTCTGCATGTTTACAGGTATGGGGGATTGTGGATTGCTCATGGAATGGGGTCTGGGGATGTGTTTAAGGGAGTAGCACCCACAGGTACATCCAAGAATTGAGTGTTGGGTAGGCTGGCCAGGCTGCAACATCCACAAGTACACATGAAGGCCAAGACTGGAAAAAAGACTGCTGGTTAAGGGCCTAGCATCCACTGGCATGTATGAGATCTGAGTGTGGGAGTGGGCCTGGTGGGCTTTCTGGTTGGTGAGCATGTGAACCAGGGATGAGTACTGGGCGTGCCAGGCAGGGCTGCTTCATTTGTCAGCAGGTATGTGGTCTGAAGAGCAGACCTGGCAGGGCCAGGGCAAATCATAACAAACTGGCATGTGCTGGATCCAGGATCAGGGGTGGGCCCTACTGGGGTAGGCTAGGCTAGGCTATTACACCAACTGGTTTGCATAAAAGCCAGAGATGGGAGCAGACTGAGCAGGGCTAGGTTGCAGCAGAGTTGGTACTGGGGGTGAGCCAGGTCAGGCTGCAGCATTTTAGCTAAGGCCAAGGTGAGTGATGTGTTATGCCAGGCTGGGTTAGAACCACCACCAACTTGAGCAAGACCTGCCTGGCTGGGGAGCTAAGAGGACACCGAGGCTGTGCTGCAGTTCTCACTGGTAAGTGTGAGAACTTACCAGCCAGAATGGGGGTAGTGAACTGGGCTGGACATGGCTACAGTCTCCCTCGACATTCGTGTGCCAGACTGAGCTAGGCTCCAGCACCCATTGGTGCTCATGAGTCAAGAGTGGGTCTAGCACAGGTGGGGTTAGGTCTCAGCACCCACTGAATCATTTGATTTGGATCTACAGGTAGACCAAGCAGGGCTGGGATGTAGCACCCAAAGTTAAGAGTCAGTATGGTGTGGGCTGGTCGTGTAAAGGCACTGTACCTGCCCAGACAGGAGCTGAATCAAGTCATGTTGGGCCAAGGACCCATTGGTGTGTGCAAAACCTGCCACTGGGAGGTAACCTGATAGAGGATCTTCTAACAGGATGCAGTCCCTGCAGATGAGTTCAAGTTTGGGAGTAAGCCAGGCCAGCTTACAGTACCTGCTGGCAGTATGTATGGCTCAGGTCTGGGGGCAGGCCTGGCTGAGCCAATTCACAGCACACACTGGCAGATGTGAGAACTAGGATGTTGTGCAGGACAGGCCAGGTTAAGCCAACACCAGCCAGTTCAATCAGGGCTGGGACGGGGGGGCTGGCTGGGCCAAGTCAGGCTGCAGCCCCTACCAATATGAGCTGGAACTGGGGACAGTCTGGGCCAGGCCAGGCTGGTCATCCACTGTTGAATGCCCAGGTGAAGCAAACCATGTGTCTGGGCCACAGCTCCCACAAGGATCCGGATGGGGAGTGAGCTAAGCAAGGGAACTGCAGGGACTCCCCTGCTGGGCCACTGCTCCCGCTGGTGAGCATGAGAGCTGGGGCTAGAGGCAGATCAGGCTGTGTAAGGCTATACAAAACATGTTTGCTGACATGTAAGCTAGATTAGGGGGAGAGCCAAGCTGGGATTAAGTGACCACATCCACTTAATTCTTGCTCACATGCATGAGCAAGAATTAAGTGCAGCCTGTTTGGGTTTTGCCGCAGCCACCAAGTAGCAGATACTGAAACAGAGAGGTTGCAATAAAGCTACAACTTTCAGTGCCTGCATCCCATTTGGGAAATGCTTCTGGCTGACAATTCTGATCCAGCTTCATGCAAACATGCCTGAGATATCACTAGAGAACGGTCCAAGTGCTTACACTACTGCACCCATATGGGAGACTTAGGTGATGAGCTTCTGGCTTCAGCTTGGCTGATGCAACTATGTGGGGAGTGAAATCAATAGATGGAAGATTTCTCTTGAACTCTGCATTTCAAGTAAACAAATACTTTCTTCATGCTAACACCCCACACAGGTGCCAGTTGATGTACTGGCTGCCCCACTTCTGATCCAGGCCCCTGCTAATGACCTGGGAAAAGCAACAAGACAGCTCAACTATTAGTCATCTTACCCTCAGCCTGGTCCAGCCCTGGCCATTGTCAGGAGAGTGATTCAGTAAATGGAGGATTACTCTTTAAACAAACCCATTTTAAATGCCTTGGTCACCACCCCTCACTTCAATAAAAGGTGTTCAACAAGATCACTAGCTAAAATATGCACCATCAAATGTGAAAATTACCAAATTGAGAACAGAGACTAATCAGGAGATAGTCAACTATTCACTGTGGGATACAATGATGCTTCAAACATCAGTGGCAATCAAGATTTCAAAACACAGCAACAGTGACACAGCTAGTAGAACTTCCACCTGTGATATTAGCATCCCATACAGGCCTGGAAAATCAGGAGGATGGCCCAAGTCTTTGGCCTTTACACTTAATGTGGAAGACCAGGAAGAAACCCCTCCGCTTCAGACTGACTCAGTTCTGGTCATTGTGGCCATTTGAGTGAATCAGCAGATCAAAGAATCTCTTTCTCTCGTAATTCTGCATTTCAAATAAAAATCTTTATGTAAAAAAACCTCTATGGGCTTAAGTTAATATATTCAACATATAAAGACATAGTCATTTACATAAAATGACTACCAATTAACAAAAAGCAGTGGTTATCTTTGGGGAAAGTGATGAGTAAGACAAAGTAAAATAAGGCTTTCATTTTTAATGTATGTATATTTTTTATAACAGCACACATTTTCTAATGTTTTTTATGCCAAGGGGAAATTTTCAATAACGAACAAGTCAGGCCATTTTTTTCTTCTGAAGCTTTAGTATCCAGGAATAAATCATAACAAAAGCCAACATGTAAAGAATTTTTTCTGTTTAGAAACAACCCAATGTTTGTGAATACATTAATCTGCCTTTTGAAAACAAATATTTAATATTTTAGTTAAATTATCTTAATACAGTTTGAAGGAAATGCCAACTGGCAGGCCAGGACCAGTAACTTTAAAAAAAAGGGGAACTTTCCCAACAACTAGGAACCCAAAGGTGATCTTCCACTCTGGTCGAACTGCTGGCAGTACTGGTGACAGTGTTACCCAGATTATCGAGTGTTTACCTGGAAAGAAGAAAACTCAGGTTTTAAAAATCATAATGATAGAATTCTAACACCAGAAATACCTAAGGCTGTTATGTAAACTTCCCCCATTTTTAGATAAGAAAAAAATAGTTAAGTATGACCTGATTTTGTTGAATAGAAAACATTTAAAAAATAAGCCTTTTTGACTAGTAACAAAATCTCAACTCTATATACTTACCACATCATCGATTTTCAGAATGCTCCGGACAGTTTCAGTTGCCAGAGTCAGAGCACTGATGGAAACCAACAAAGGCTGGACCACCAGTTCCTCCAAAATGTTGGAAATACCTCCCTGAAATGAGTACAAGTTATTTTTCAGTGTTTGTAATGTGCAAAACACGAATTTATGCTGGATTTCTCCAGTCCTATCCAAAACTTTTCTTCTTAAGATTTATTTTTTTATTTGGAAAGTCAGATATACAAAGAGGAGAAGAGAGAGAGAGAGAGAGATCATCTTTGGTCCCCCAAGAAGCTAGAGCTACTTGTAACGGTTAGAGCTGAGCTGATCCAAAGCCAGGAGCCTCCTCTGGGTCTCCCACTCAGGTGCAGGGTCCCAAGGCTTTGGACCACACGTGACCAATTTCCTAGGTGAGCTGGATGGGAAGCAGGACTGCCAGGATTAGAAATGGTGCCCAAATGGGATCCTGGCGTCTACAAGGTAAGGACTTTAGCCAACAGGTTACTGCACTGGGCCCTATCCTAACCTCTTTAAACAAAGGAACATTGCTGATGGACACTAACATCTGTGATTCCAGTCTTTTGTCCTTTTAACAAATACTTTTTCATAAGATCCTGCCTAAAAATAAAACAATTTTGGTAAATTCCAACTACTAAAAGAAAAGATAGTTAGTATGGGTTTTCCAACCCTGGGATCTGTTACCTTGCCAACATATAATCCATGCTGCAGATTGGTTAGATCCGTCACCATCACTGAACTGTTACCATATCCAAAATTTGCCGATTCCCTGTACTTACAACTACCCACTGAAAATGGGAACTTTCTTACTATTCTATGTTTACCCCTATGACAATAACAGCCGATTTATGACAATAGAATGGTTTGGTATCTAAAATGTTATTTAGTTACACATGTAATCCTCACAAGACATATGAGTAATTAACTATTAATTTTTCCTGTCTTAACAATAAAGAAAGCTGAACAAAGTAACAGGGGGCAGCCACTGGCATAGCAGTCAGGATGCCACTTTGGATACTTCACATCCTAGGGTCACTTAGGTCTGAATGCCAGCTCTGCTCTTAACCCCAGCATCCTGTTAGCAAGATCCTGGTATGTAGCAGAGACATACAATTGCACTGTTATTGCTGTGGAAGACCCAGATTGAGTTTCTAAAACGAAGGTTTTTTTTTACTCAATGAACAAATACAAAGCTTTAAAAACTTTTAGATGAGCATTTTCAATAATGCTCATCTAAAAAAAAAACAGATTACCTTTCGGACATTAATGCCTGTGGTTTTTTCACCCTGGGCATGCCGGTTTCTTAGTTCTGTCACTGTAGAAATGGGATTCAGGCCGGCATTTTCAGCCAGTGTAGATGGGATGACCTCCATTGCATCTGCAAAAGCACGAACGCAGTAGGATTCCATACCACTCAACGTTCGTGAATATTCAGTTAATCGCAGGGCTAGTTCTATTTCTGGAGCACCACCTCCTGCAATAAGAGCTCTGAAATGCACAAATATTTATAGCTTATTTAGTCCAAGAGGAAGTTACTTTTAATAACTTACTAGTTATACTTTAAAAGTCAAAAGCAGATGCGTTGATGTTCCAAAATGTTACTTAGTAATATAATGCTTATATTACCTCTTTTTCACTAAACAGCGAATAACACATAGGGCATCATGAATTGATCTCTCTGCTTCTTCAATCACCAATTTGTTAGAGCCACGAACGACGATTGTAACTGTTTTCCCAGGGCTTGCACAGCCTGTAATCTTTAGTAAACAAACTCTGAATTAGGTATCTGTGTAAGAGCTTTTAAAATAACAAAAGCTTTTATCAAGTAAAAGCTTAACTGTAAGGGATACCTTAAGCAGTTTGCCAGAACCATCTAAATTGACCTCTTCGGCTAGTTCAGCAGAACCCAGCATATCAGCAGTAAACTGGTCAATATGAGCAACTGGCTTGGTTCCAATTGTCTGGAATAAATGATAAAACCCAAACATTAAGACAGCACATAGTTGATTACTAGACATCGTGATACTTACAGGTTTATCAACATTTTACCTTACAAATGAATTCAATGTCTTCTCTTTCAATATCCTTAATCACCATTATCTTCATTTTGTTCAGAAAATGTAAGGCAAGATCACTAAGAGCATCTCTGAAACACAAAATCAATCACATCATGTTAATGCTAGGTAAAAAAACTCACTTTGTTGTTCAATTGCTCCTAATTATTCACTGTTCAAATGGTTGATATTATTTGTGAAGAGAAATGCTCTAAATATCAACTCAAAATTTTTAGTCAAAATTACAATTCAAAATTGCTAATTTTTTCATTTAAAAGGCAGTTAACAAAAAGGAGGCAAGTTAGTGAAAGAGAGCACCAAACACTCGCCCACTCTGCAGCCGACCCCTGTTGCTGCAGCTAAGACTACCCAAAACCAGAATCCACGAGCCTGTTCAGGATTCTCACATGGGTGCAGAGTCCAAGGACTCGAGCCATCCTCTGCTTTCAGTCCATATGAGGAGGAAGCTGGATTGTAAGTTCAGCAGCAGGGACATAAATCAGCTTAGAATTTTGGCTTAGCATGTCCAATTCTACAGCAGGCTTTGTGGTGCAACAGGTGCATACCATTATGTTAGCCATTTCACATTTCCCAACCAGCTTTCTGCTGATGCACTTATGGAACAGTGTGATGGTCCAAAACTTTGGATTTCTGCCACTCATGTTCCTAAGTTTTGACCTGACCTTTCCCTGGCTACTGCAGCTAATTATGGTAGGAACCAGATAATGGAAGATATCTCTTTGATATTCTACCTTTCAAATAATTATAATAAAATATTTAACTTTTTAAAAAGACTAAAATCAATTTGGACTTCATAACTTCCCATCCAGATCCTTGACTGTGTCCTGGGAAAGCAGTTGAGGATGACCCAAAGACTTGAGACCCTGCATCCATGTGGGAAACCAGGAAGAAACTCCTAGCTCCTGCTTTCAGACCAGCTCAGCTTGGCCATTGCAGCCACTTGAGAGTAAGCCAGCACATGGGAGATTTTGTCTCTGTAATCTCTCTGTGGATCTGCCTTACCGAGAAAAATAAATCTTTTAATTAGTGATAATGTGGACAGCTGTTGAATTTCAAGGCACACAACTCGCACAGATGCCTAAAATTTATTTATTATCACTATTTAGACTTGTTTATTTGAAGTATCAAACGTAGATTCATTCTAGATATCTAGTGCTTTATTCATCTTAAGTGTTTGTTAGGGGCCTGGCGGTGTGGCCTAGCACCTAAAGTCCTCGCCCTGAACGCACTGGGATTCCATATGGGTGCTGGTTCTAATCCCGGCAGCCTTGCTTCCCATCTAGCTCCCTGCCTGTGGCCTGGGAAAGCAATTGAGCATGGCCCAAAGCCTTGGGACCCTGCACCCGTGTGGGAAACCTGGAGGAGATTCCTGGCTCCTGGCTTCAGATCGGTACTGCACCAGCCATTGCAGCCGTGTAGCAGTGAGTATTTGAACCAGCGTCCAATTCAGTGCAGAGGGCAGCTTCACCTATTATGACATATTGCTAGCCCTAAAGAAACCTTAAAAAAAAATTATTAAAGGAATTAGCCTTAATACCTTAGGATGGACTTCTGTATGAGAAGGACATTACATCCTGTTTTCTTAATTTGCTTCACCAAATTTAAAATATAGGCTCTTTCTTCTCGTAGCACTCTGTCCATCTGAGCATAGTCAGAAACTACTATTTGATTATCCATCTGTTTAGAAAAAGGATATATTAGTAACTTGGATTGTTAAAAAAAAAAAATTTTAAGTAGACTCCTAAGGTATTTCAATTAAATCACACCTAACAATAAATATGCACAGAAAAAGGCCCAAAAATAGATATTCCAAACTTGAGTGTTGAAACGATACGAACTGTTGCTTCGTTTACATTTTTCATAACAAAAATGCAAATTATTCCATTTCCTGATTTTTTTCCACAAAGAAATCATGTTACAGAAATAATTCCAGTTTCATCCTTTTACTTTTATGGCTTCTGACAGCAATGTGTTCAGAAATAAGAAAACAAACAAAACCCCTTATTGATGTCAAGATATAAAACATGAGAGCAAACCTACCCTTTTCAGGGAAATGCACTCATGACTAACAGGAGTACCTTAGATAAAATGCAATTTCTTCAGAGCACAAATATTAAACCAGCTTAAGGTGTCATTTGAACAAAAAATTCACTTTCAAACTGAAAATTCCACATATAGCTTACAATCTTCACATATATTCCTATTACTCATCTTCAAGTCAGAACTCAATTTTGGAAACTGTTGAGGTGACAGATTTGTTACCTGTGTCACTAATAATCCCTATATTATTAGCTTAGAATTCCTTTGAGATCTGTGCTTTATAATCACTGACAGCAGCATATTCTATTTTAATTTTAATAAGCCAATATTTGATCTCTAATACGGTCAAATTCACAAAGGGGTTAAGACATACAAATACGGAAGTATTTTCATCTGGATTCTACTTACATCTGTTTTGGGAGCAGATAAGCAAAACTGAATGAGTCCGATCTTAGCCTTTTCAACTCTGGTTATTCCAGAATTTGCCACTTTCTGGGTGAGAACCAGTCCTTCTACCAACTCACAGTCATCAATTGTCCCACTTGGAGAAACAGAAAACAAAGAGGGAATAGTTAATAAGGGGTAGAAGTCTACAAGTTTAGTAAATTAAACAGTTTAAAACCAGTAACAAACATCAGTCAAGAAAAAAGAATATATTAGCTTCATCTGTATTAGTGATTAGTACCTCACTCCTGGATCTCTGAAATTCACTACTGTGCTATTAATAGTGCTTTTTCTATAAATGGTATCTTGAGATTCCCATACCAAAAAATCTCTCACAAAAACCAAAACCAAAAGGAACAAAAGAAAGCTATATAAATCTCTCCTAAGTACTTATTTAGTTTACATATGCAGTGGCTTATGCTCACTCTCAAATTTCTATTCAAATTGTATTACAGATGCTTACCCAAGCTTCTTAACTATCTTAATATCTCTAAGATCTACACTAGTAGCTGTGGCCGGATCAATCACTTTCATCACTGCATTAACACTCATCGGAGAAAGCAGACTTGAGTACTGAGAGACAACCTACAATTAAAAAATAAAAGTTAGCATTAGAACCCCTAAAAGACTCCAACTAATTTTTCAATGAATGACAAAACTAGTAAATGACTTAGCCACTTTTTGGGGTACTGTGGAAAGAGGTGAAACACTGTTTGCTATTCAAGTTATTAGTCACCAATGGCAAAAAATATTTACACTCCCTTGCCTTGTTAATGTAGTAGCTGCAACTGCCTAGATAGGATAGTATTGGAAGCTGAATTTATGCAAAAGTTCCCTATCTAAAACAAGTAATCTAGAGTTATGCATGTGTATTCTTAATACTGGAGGGAATGACAAAAACATTTATTGTTTTACCAACTACTTGTTTACCAGGCCAGGCAGTAATTTTGGCACAAATATTAGCCTTCAGCTGGAAAATCAAGACAGAAAATTATTTACCCACACAGCTTAGTTAACTAGTGCAATCAATCCAGACTCCACTAGTGCTTGTAACCATCACGTTGTGCTATTAGTTCTGGAGATGTTCATAGTACCACTCAGTATTGTTAGAATGATTTGGTGGGGGCTGGTGCTGTGACTCAGTGGGATTAGTCACTGCCAGTAACACTGGAATCCCTCAAGAACACTGATTCGAGTTCTGGCAGTTCCACTTCTGATCCAGCTGCCTACTATGTACCTGGGAAAAGCAGAAGATGGCCCAAGTACTTGGCCCCTGCCACTCATGTGCAAGACCCAAATAGGGCTTTGACATAGGCCTGTTCTGCCTTTGACATGGCCCAGCCCTAGCAGCTGCAATCATCTGGGTGGAGTGTGACCAATGGATGAAGACTGAAGATCTTTGTGTTTTGAATAACAAGCCACCTCTATTTGTTGGGGGCCAGTACTGCTGTAGCAGTGGGTTAGGCCCATGCCCGTGAAACTGGCACCCTTTATGAGTACAGGCTGAGTCCTGGATGTTCCACTTCTGATCTAGCTCTCTGATGATGAACCTGGAAAAGCAGCGGAGGATGGCCTATTTATACACGGATTCTGGGCTCCTGGCTTTGGCTTGACCCAACCCTGTTGTGGTCACTTGAACCAGTTGATCTCTCCCCTCCTCCCTCCATGTAAATCTGCCTGGAGAAAATACAAATCTTGAAAAAATTTTGTATTTAAAAGGCAGAAAGAATCAAAACAAAGCAAACAAAAAAAGCAGAGACTAGAAAGATGTCCCATCCAACAGTTTTTCTTCTCAAATATTTCACATGGTTGGCAGGGACTTACTTAACCAATAGACATCATTCCCTTACTCCCAGAGCACACCTAAGCAGGAAGTGAGGGAAAAGGCAGAGCCAGGACTTGACCTGAGGCACTCCTTATGGGACATGGGAGTCCCAAGGCATGTCCTAACCGCTGCACCCAATATGAAATATATTTTATCATCAAATTTGTTAAAACTTGCGGACTTGAAACTCAGTCCCACCTCTTAGTAGTGGACCTTGAAAAACTTTTCTCAATTTATGTAAATCTCATTTTCCTATCTGTAAAATGAGTATAATTATTAACTTGAGAGCCTTGAAAATATAAATCTACTGCAATGCTTGGCACATTCAAGCAATAAATAAAACTAAGCTATACTGCCAGAGATTCCAAGATGACAGTTTGTTCGTATGTTTTTTGAAAGGAGCTTCCACTCACTGGTTCACTCCTCAAATGCCTGCAACACATGGGGTTGGAGAAGGCCAATACCAGAAGCCTGGAACCCAAGCTGGATCTCTAAAGTTTTCTAATGCTTGTCTCACCTTTGAATTCAGTGAAGTGGTTGCACTATTTAACAAAGTTTCTCTGTCACTCAGCTCCACAGGTCGTGACATGTCAGTCAAGATTTCAATACCCTTTTCCAAAGCCTTCTGGAATGACTCCGAAATGATGGTTGGATGAATACCTGTTATTGTCAAAGCACATCTGTTTAAAAATTATCTTTTCTTTCACTTGAAAAAATTTATTTTGAAAGGTAGAACAAAAAGGCAGAAGCAGAGAAACATCTTTCATCAGCGAGTTTAGTTCCTTAAATAGCTGCAAAAGCCAAGCCTGGGTCAGGCCAAAGCCTGGAGTCAGGATTTTCATGCAGGCCTTCCACATATGTGACAAGGAATCCAAAAACTCAGGCCATCTTCTCTGATGCCTTTCCAGATATTTATTATTAATTACCAAGTATCTGATAATTTTAACTGCTAATAAAGGGCAATTTACTTCCACTCAATTTGAAACACATCAATCACAAACTTACATGATACCAGATATTGAAACAGACTATTTTCAGAACATCACAAATATACATATTAAGTTAGAATAGTGACTGGAGAGTCATTACTATGATTAAATAGTATTTACCAAAGCAAGATTCCTTTCTTTATCTCCTAGTCCATCTTTCTCATTTATAATCTAAGATTAGAATGGCACTGTGGTTTATCATGCTAATCCTCCATCCTGCAGAGTCAGCATCCCATAAAGATAATGGTTCATGTACAGACTGCCCTACTTCTGATCCAGCACCCTGGTCATGGACTGGGGAAGCAGCAGAGGAAGGCCCAAACCTTTGGGCCCCAGCACCCATGTGGGAGAGCTGGAAGAAGCTCCTGGCTCTAGATCAGCTCGCTCTGGCCATTGTGACCATTTGGGGAATGAACTAGCATATGGAAGATCTTTTTGTTTCTCCTTCTATCTGTAAAAATCTGCCTTTCAAATAAACCCTTTAATTTTTTCACTGCAAGCAATTTTAATACAAATGTTATTGTTTTAGAAAAATTTTACTAGAACAAATTCCAAACCTTACAGTAAAACTATTCATTTCCAAATTCAATTTAATAACCAGATTACTTAAAGATAGCCTAGCTTTTCCTAAAGGTTGCTTTAAAAATGTATTTTTTACTCATTAACAAAGCATGTTTTACTTACCCTTCTGAAGAAGTTTGGTACAGGAATCTAAGAGAGAACCAGCAATGATAACCACTGATGTGGTGCCGTCTCCTGCTTCAATATCTTGAGCCTTAGAAAGCTCCACCAGCTATAGGAACAAAAACATGAAGGTACACAGTGAGAAATGTGAGAATAACTAACACAAATGTTCAGATTAAAGTCACGGAATTTGAAGACTTAGGGTAATTTCTGGTGTCTGATTACTTAGATAATTTGGGCTTACCTTTCCAAGTGAGCAAAGTGACCAGTTTAGACTCCTTTAACAGACACTAATTCCTTTTCTTTCTAAAGATTATCTATTTAAAAATTAGAGGTAGAGAGAAACAGAGATCTTTCATCTATTGGTTCACACCCCAGATGCCATGGATGTTAGTTTCAACAAGGTCTCACATATGTGACAGGGGCTGAACCCTCTTGCCTATCCTTAGATGCTCTCCCCAGGCTACCAGCAGGAAGCTGTATCAGATGGCACCCATGTGGGATGCAAATGTAGCTGGACGTGGCTTTACATACTACACAACGCCAATGCCTAGAGATGAATTTCTAATTTGATTTTTTTTTCTAAAATGTGGTTCTCTCACTTGTCATGAGAATCATCATAATCTTCAGGCATTTTTAAATTAATGCCAGTACAAGGTTAGGCATCATAGCTCAATAGGCCAACTCTCTACCTTTAAGTGCTGACAACCCTATATGGCTGCTGGTTCATGTCCCAGTTCCCTTCTTGCAGCCTGGGAAAGCAGTTGAGGATGGCCCAAAACCTTGGGACCCTGCAACCCATGGGAGACCCAGAAGTCCTTCCTGGCTCCTGGCTTCAGTCTGGCTCAGCTCTGACCAGTGCAGCTATTTGGGGAGTGGACCAGTGAATGGATGATCTTTCTGTTTCTCATTCTCTGTAAATCTGCCTTTAAAATAAAAATAAATCTTTAAGAAAACAAGTCAGTACATTTTAGGTGTTGATTTGTTTTTGCCTATAATTAGAAGCATTTCTATCAAACATCCACCAATTTGTATTTTAGAAGTATTATTTTGGGGGCCAGTGTTTTGCAACACCAGATTCAGTCCTGGCCACTCCACTTCCAATCCAGCTCCCTGCTAATGCGCCTAGACAATGGAAGATGGCTTAAGTACTTGGGCTCCTGCTACCCACTTGGGATACACAAATGGGATTTCAGTCTTTTAGCCACAACCTGGCCATTGTAGCCATCTGGCAAGTTAATCAAATTTGTCTGTGTCTTTCAAATAAATACACAGGGCCTAGCGCTTTAGCCTAGGGACTAAGTCCTTGCCTGAAACGTGGCAGGATCCCATATGGACGCCAGTTCTAACCCCAGTGGCCCCACACTTCCAATCCAGTTCCCAGCCCATAGCCTGGGAAAGCAGTAGAGGATGGCCCAAAGCCTTGGGACCCTGCACCCACATAGGAGACCTAGGTGAGGCCCCAGGCTCCTGTCTTCGGATTGGCTCAGCTTCAGCTATTGTGCCTACTTGGGGGAGTAAATCAGCATATGGAAGCTATTCCTCTCTGTATATCTGACTTTACAATAAAAATAAATCAATCTTATAAAATAATAATAATAAAAATACATAAGACCACTTTTGGGGAGGGCGTGGCGGATCATGTGACAGCCTAATGCCCAAATCCTTGCCTTGCATAAACCAGTTCATACCTTGACTGCTCCACTTTCTATCCAGCTCTCTGCTTGTGGCCTGGAAAAGCAGAAGAGAATGGCCCAAAGCCTTGGGAACCCTGGAAGAAGCTCCTGGTTTCTGGCTTGGCTCAGCTCCAGCCACTGTGGCCACTTAGGGAGTGAATCAGCAGACGAAGATCTTTCTATCTGCCTCTCCTTCTGTGTATCTGCCTTCCTGCCCCAAAAGGCTACTTTCCTTTTTTCCCCCATCTCTTCCTTTCTCAATAGTATGATACTATCCTATATGAAAATCAGGTGATTATCTTTTACCATCACTGTGCATTGACGATGAAAAGGCTAGACACACAACATATCATAAAAACAGGCCTGTTATGCATGAGCAGCAAATATTTCTACTAGGGTCAATAATACTATGTCATTAAATTAACAAATTTGCTTATCAAACAATATAGTATATATATCAAAAAACCTTACCATTCTGGCTGCTGGATGTAATACCTGCATTTGTTTTAGGATGGTGGCACCATCATTTGTAATGGTCACATCACCTTTTGCATCCTGAATCTGGAAAAAACATTTTTTAAAAATACAAACTTGCATTTCATTGTGATGTCTTAGAACCTCTACTGAATTTTAATATCTCCATAGTAGAGATCTGCAGTCTTAATTTCAAATTGTCTCCCCTTACCTCAGTTAAGAACAACTAGCCTTGATCAAAGTATTTTAGAAATGAATGAATCTAGACTTTCAAGCACATCAGAAAACACACAACACTATCATTACTAACTAGTTCCGTGACACTCAACAAAGGGCAGTAGCATTAGGAGGAACAGTTTTTAAAATACAGAGAAAACAATGACGCATGTTATCTAGAAAGCCTTATAAACTTCTTTTATTAACCTGCACTGAATTTGAAATAGATATATCACTGAATTCCCTTATGCTTTCAGCTAACCAACCTGGAAATTGAAACCCTGCAGCCCCATACTAGCACACAGAATTACATCTACAAAGAACACTGAACTCAAGTGAAATGCTAACATTTGGACTTACATGCTTTCCAACAAACTACACAGTAACTACATAAAAGTAAAACACAATAAATATAAATTATAATCTCTGTTCACTCCAAAATAATCTCTCTTCCAAACTCTCAAAGAACATCTTTAACCCTTTTTAATTTTAAAACAGCACATCTTAACCCTCTGTGAAGACTCTGCAGTGTGAACGGCATCACTAAGTACTGAATCCTTAATCTACTTACCATTTTATCCATCCCTTTTGGTCCAAGGCTTGTTCTAATAGCATCAGCAACCGCTACAAACAGAAAAGGAAAAAGAAATCAAATCTCCTTAAAAACAAAGTATTCCTCCTCTAAAGCACTTCATCCTTAACTAGGGTATAGTTTACACCATTTCATTGTGTTCTGGTCTCCCATGTGCGTGCAGGGTCCCAAGGCTCTGGGTTGTCCTCAGCTGGTTTCCCAGGACACAAGCAGGGAGCTAGATGGGAAGCGGGGCTGGCAGGACTCAAACCGGGGCGCATAGGGATCCTGGCTCATGAAAAGTGAGGACTTTAGCCACTAGGCTACTGTGCTGGGCCCAAAAACATTCATTTATTTATATATATTATATTACCTTTACATCAGAGCTCTACTATGGCAGAGATCTTCCATCTGCTGGCTTAATCCCCCAATGGCCACAATAACCAGGACTGGAGCAGGTGCCAGGACCTCCAGTCTAGGTCTACCACAGGTAGCAAGCACTCACATACTTGAGCCACCTTCCGTTGCCTTCTCAGGAGTATTAGCAGAAAACTGAGTAAGCATACTCAATCCAGCACTCTGAAATGGGATCCTGGCACGCCTAGCCAGCCTTTCAAAGTCACAGCTGTCAATATAGTCCGATATACAAGCGATCATTTCAAAAGTGTTCTTAATACTAGAGTTAGGGGCCAGCATCGTAACACACTGGGCTTGATGGCACTTGCCGAGTTGCACAGTGGCCAAGACTGCTGCCTGAGATGCCAACATGCTCCATCACAGATCTAGGTTTGAGTCCACACTGCTTCTAATTCCATCTCTGCTGAAACACCCAGCCTGGAGACACCAAGTTACAGCTGTCAGTCTTGAGTCCCTGTTATCCACATGGGAGACCTTGACTTGACTGAATCCTTGCTTTCGACCTGGCCCAGCCTCAGCTACTTGTGGGCAGCTGGGGAAAGAATTAAGAAGACAGTTGTCTCTCCATGCTACAAATCAAACAGATTAAAAAAAAAAACTAGAAAATGTTGGTAAGCAACTTACACTGTTTTTTCATCCTACCTGGATATTCTTTTCTGTTTCAATTTTCTCATTCATTGTTGCTTCAATGTCACCCAAATAAATGTTCACTTTCCTCTCTAAATCAACTGCCGACATAGAGCCTCCGGTCATTCAGACTAAAGCTTCCACTAGGCCTTATTAGTGACAATGCACCAAGTCTTACCTTCAGGTTTATATGCTCCTAAGCTTCCAGTAACTCCTAAACCCACCCACCCAGCCCACCATTCTGATCTCTCCAACTCATTGAGCCCAAAATAGAAACCATCATCTTTTACTGATCATTGCAAATACTTGTAAAGTGTACTGTATGTAAACACACTGATACACCTTCCTATTTTCTCGTTTAATCCTCACACCAACTCCAAGGCTAGCTATTCTCTCCCTCTCCTGTAACTATAGGAGTCAAAAGCTGTTCACAACAGAAGGCCCTTGGACATCTGGGCCCAACCAGCCCGTCCAGATTCTCTGCACCAAACGCACACCTGGGCAGCATGTCCAAGCCTTAGTCACTTCTCCTACAGGTTTTTCTCTCAGCTTATTTTAATACTCCAAAGATCAAGTAGGGCCCTTAATTTTATAGGCTTGGAGGTTAAAGGTTACAAAGCTACAAATAAACTGAAGGTGTGAGTGAAATGCGGCCTTCATTTCTAACACGTGCCATAGTTCTATAAAAACTAAAACATTGTTGCTTAGTGTGCGTGTAGTGTGTGTGTATCCTCCTACAAAGCACACAGGTAAGTTGTACCTAGCTATTCCCAACTAGACGAGTTAGGTCAGTCACCCTGGTAAAACAGACTCCTTCAAATTCTGATGCATTTATCTAGTTCATTTGAACAGCATTTCTACAAGAACAACAACAACAACAAAAAACCCCTGAAAAACAATGTACAAACAACGTGGAACGTGGGATGCAGTCAGCCAGCTCAACAATGTCACATCTGAAGCCCTCGGCATTTTTTTTTTAAAGATTCATTCATTTTTGTTACAAAGTCAGATATACAGAGAGGAGGAGAGACAGAGAGGAAGATCTTCCCCAAGTGAGCGCAACAGCTGGTGCTGCGCCGATCCGAAGGCAGGAGCCAGGAACTTCCTCCAGGTCTCCCAAACGGGCGCAGGGTCCCAAAGCTTTGGGCCGTCCTCGACTGCTTTCCCAGGCCACAGGCAGGGAGCTGGATGGAAAGTGGAGCTGCCAGGATTAGAACCGGTGCCCCTATGGGATCCCGGCGTGTTCAAGGCGAGGACTTTAGCTGCTAGGCCACGGCGCCGGGCCCACCCCTCGGCATTTTAAACTGATTTCGGCCCAAGGCAGTGAAAGAGTAACAACACAGAAGGAGGAATTCTGGGCGACTAACATAAAATGGCGTTGCAATGGATTCCACACTCGACAATCAGCCGCAGGAAACAGAAAGGGCTGCCCCCTACCCCGCCCCTCAGACAGCGTCCACTGGGAGAATAACTTAAAAACTCATCAAAAACAAATGGAGCTGGTCCACAGCCACCCAGGATGAGTGGACAGGTCCACGCCGCCGCGCGTTCAGGCACAGGGAAAGATACCTTTGGCCGCAGAAATGTTGCTGAAGCGAATCTGGGCCGGCTTGTCGCGGTCCTGATAGGCGCCTTTCCCGCGGCCGCCAGCGGTCCCAGCGGGCGCCCCGCTTCGGGCTGCCACGTTCTCAGGCATGGCACACTTGGTCGGCTCTGGGCGAGATCTAGAAGGAAGGATGGACACGGATTCTGTCCAGCAGCAGATTAACGGTACAGAACGCCCGCCTGCAGGAACCTTCCAGAAAGCGGCGCCGGCGGCGGCAGGGGGCGGGGCCAGAGACGGGGACCTGGCCGGCAGCGCGGCGCGGCTGTGACGTCGCGGGCTGTCCGACGCGCGCCGGATGAGGACGGCTGTGAGCGGGAAGCTCCGGGTTTATGTGGTTACTGGAGCGGGGAGCACCGGACGGTGAGGTGGGGGTACAAATGCTCGAGGCAGCGACGATAGCGCCCAACATTGGAGGCGAGTGTTGAGGGCACCCATGGCTCCTCCCTGACTGTGAGGTCCCCTCATTAACTCTGGCAGGACGCGGTGGGCGGTGCTGCTTCTCGCATTACTCGAGTGGGTGTGGCTCGGTCCGTTATTACCTGACGTTGCCGGCTCGAAGCCTATTTTTTTAGTCCGTTTGAAGAGATTATAAGATTTAGATTGATTTTGAGATGGCGGCTCCTTTCCTTTTGGCCTGTGGAGGTTGTTTCGTGTAGATTGGTGTTGGGCGGCGCACAGGCTTAAACACGCTGGCTGTATCCGGAGACTCAGGATTGCCTGTCTAGTTACACAGTCGGCCCTTTTCCACTGGCTTCGCTTACAGAACATGGCCACTAAACGTTGCCCACGTTGTTTAGTTGTTATTGACTGAGTACTGTGGTAAACCTTTACATGTTTCATTCTGTTTACTCTTCACAATAATCCTACGAAATAGGTGCCCTTAATTCAGTGGGTAAGAGAAGGAAGCCCAAGATAAATAATTTAGCACAGCACAAGGGCTTGAAAGGGACGAGCTGAACTGTCAAACGCCTGTTACCATTACATTTGAAGGAAGGCGTTTATGCAGGTCAGGGACCTTCAGTATGCATTTACAAATAATCATTAGGTGGCTGCAAAGTGACAAATGCCTGCATAGGTTCCAAGAGAGTTGCTTCTGCTGTGGCTTCATTTTTCTCATCTTCAGATTATGATAATTAAATGAGATGATGCCTGAGGCCTTATTAAACTCTCCTGTTGTCAGTGTAGGGATTAAAATTACCATAGGGGACAGTGCCAGGTATGGGCTTGTTGGGAGAGCCTGTGTATGATGAGTGCTTCAATTATTTGAAATCTGTCAAATTATAAACATGTTTAAAGGTTTATTTATTTGAAAGGGAGAATTACAGAGAGAGGGAGAGACAGAGATCTTCCATCTGCTAGTTCACTCTTACATGGCATCAGTGGCTGAAGTTGGGCTAATCTAAAACCTGGAGCCAGGAGCTTCTTCCAGGTCTCCCACATGGGTGAACGTGTTCAACTGATTAATTGGCTCAATTGATTAATTCTCCCCTCACGAACACCAGGATGCTCTACAGGCACCGGTTTGTGCCCAGCTACTCCACTTCCCACCCAGCTCCTTGCTTGTGGCCTTGGGAAAGCAGTAGAGGACAGCCCAAAGCCTTGGGATCCTGCTCTGAAATGGGAGACCCAGAAGAAACTCCTGGCTCCTGGCTTGGGATTGGCTCAGCTCAGGCCTTTTCAGCTATTTGAGGAGTGAACCAGTAGATGGAAAATCTTTATATCTCCTCTCTGTAAATCTTCCTTTCTGGTAAAAGTAAGTAAGTCTTTAAAGAAAAAAAGTGGACAGAAACAAAATAGGATGCTGGCAAACTTAGTGTTCTGGTAAATGGACAAGTAAAAGGACATTCTATTTAGAAAGCAGAAATTATGGGGCTGGTGCCTTGCAAACTAAGCCTCTGCCTGTGACGCCGGAATCCCATATGGGCACCAGTTCATGACCCAGCTGCTCCACTTCTGATCCAGCCTCCTGCTTATGGCTTGGAAAAGCAGCAGAGGATGGTCCAAGTCCTTGGGAGCCTGCACACACATTGGGAGACCCAGAAGAAGCTCCTGGCTTCAGTTCAGTTCAACTCCAGCTTTTTCAGGTATTTAGGGGAGTGAATTAACAAATGGAGGATCTTTCTCTGTGTCTCTCCTCTCTGTAAATCTGTCTTTTAAATAAAAATAAATAAATCTTAAAAAAAAAAAAGAAATGAACTAATCTATAGTTACTGTGGTTCTGTTGAGAGATACAGAATGTGTAAGTTTATTGGCAAACTATTTTGGGGGTCCAGGTAGGACAAAAGAAAGGGCATAGTAAGCCAACATCACACACAAACAACACACAAAAAGTCCCAAACTTAATTTGATCAAGTCGTTGCCAACTGTGGTTATGTGTAACATGAGCATGATCTTATACAATTATAACAGAAGTAAAATTGCTTTTGCCTAGCGATGTTACCGCCATCTAGTGATGTCACGGTAACATACTAGCACATTGTATTCCTAGAGTGTTTGTGGTGATGCTAGTGTAAACAAACCTACTGCACTGTGAATCATATAAAAGTATGACACCTATGTGTAGTATATACTACTTAATAATAAATGTTATTAGTTTATACTTTTGCTTGAAAATTATTTGGAAGGCAGAGCAACAAAGAAAGGCAGAAGCAGAGAGCGAAATCTCCCATGTGCTTGTTTGTCTCTCAAAGGACCACAACAGCCTGATCAGGACCAAGCTGAAGCCAGGAGCCAGAACTCCAACCTAGTCTCTCACATGTGTGAAAGGGGCTTCCCAAACACATTATCAGGAAGCTGAATTGGAAGTGGAACAGCTGGGACTTGAATTGGCACTGGCATATGGGATGCTGGCACCATAGGTTGTGGCTTAATCTGTGCTGCAATACCAGGCCCCCTATAGTATCTCTCAAAATAATTATTTTAATGTATTATTTTATCTGGAAACAATTATTTATTTTTAGAGTTCCAAGAAGGCAAGGAAGTGGCCAGTTAAAGTAGAAAATATTTTATTTCAGTTGGGACAGAATAGGGAGTAGAGTGGGAATTCACATGCCCAGACAGAGGGCAGGAGATTTTGAAGCCAGGCTTTATTCCATTTGGGCAGCAGGTGGAATCCTTTCTTAGCTTGCTTTATTTATTTGTTTGTTTGTTTGTTTATTTATTTATTTATTTATTTATACACAACCATTTGGTTCCTTTGTTGGGTGTCAGGCCCGGCTCCAGCAGGAAGGACAGGGATGAGGACAGCGGTGTGCAGGGTCAGGGCACAGACAACAGTGGGCGCGTGGGGCTCTGCAGCTATGGCGACCAAGAGGCAGACAGCAGGCATCTGTCCTGGTTCTGTGTGGGTCCTCAGGGTGCAGCCAGGTCCTCAAGCATGGCCAGGCCCATGAGCTTTCCTCAGAGAGTGCTTCCTTCAGGGTTGCATAAGCCTTATCTGGATTGTCATTGATGATGACCCAATCAAGCAGGCCGGGCTTCTTGCTGCTGTCCATGTTGGCCCAGGCTGCAGCCAGCCACTTTGCTAGGCTCTCCTCAAGTCTCAGTGTTGTGCTGCCGGAATCGCTCCAGTACGTCCACTGAGGGCAGCTGCCCAGGAATGTAGATGGGCCTCAGATTGGTTTTCTTGATGTTGCACACACCCTGTAGCTCCACGTCCAGCATGCAGATGCAGTTCATGGCCTACATGGCCAACACAGATGCCTTGCTTCTTCTGTACAGATTCCCTGAGAACTTCGCATGCTCAGTGAAGTCTCTGACAGTGATGTTGCACTGCATCATCTCATTGGTCACAAAGTACTAATCTTTGCCATTCTCCTTGCCAGGCTGAGGGTCCCTTGTGGTATGGGAGACAGTGAAGCTGAAGTCACCACCATGCTCCTGCAGCAGCCTCCTCAGCAGGGTGCTCTTCCCAGCCCCTGACAGCCCACTCAGCACCATGGTCCTAACATTGCCATTCACAGGGGCCTGGCCCAGGGCAGCTGCCACCCTCCAGGCCACATCATTCCTTTCTTAGCTCTTGTTGATGGTGATGCAGACAGCCTCATGGACCTTGGTAAGATGAGTAGGGGACTTGCAGAAAGGCTCCTTATAAAGGTTACAATGATTATTCTAGCAGTTTGTGCTGGAGACCAGCTCCAGCTGATTGAGAGCTTGCAAAGGATGCATGGATCGGCGAGATGATAGGAAGAGGTAAGACACGGACTACTATGGCTTGATGCTCACAATGGACAACTCCGAAAAGTTGCCTTCTTTATTTATACATAAATCATCAGAAGTTTGTGCACAACATCCAATTGTTTCATTTTTCATTATATCATGGTTATGAAAATGCAAGAAGCAATCCTAAAAAATATTTTTCTATTTCAAAGAAAACATTCTTAACAAACCATTACTCATTGAAACCTGCAATCACCTGGCTGAAGCCAGGAACTCCACGGTTGGCAGCACATGCAGTTACATGTAGTTTACTTATACTCAAAATCAACTTTTACTAAACACAAACTAATATTGATTAAAATATTAAGAATACAGAATTAAAAGGTCATAAATGAAAGGACTTTATAAAAGCATATAACATAGATTCTTTGCTAAATTTTATAATCAAATCATGCATTAATTACAGTCACCATCACCTAGTGCTGATTCAATTGTTTTTTATTCTTTTGTTAAAGGGCAGTGAAAGGGATCAAGGCACTTCAGCTAATCTACAAACAGAGGGCCTCTTACAAGAAACTTCCTTTCATCTATATAAACTATTTTCTTTCCCTAAATATAAATGCCAATATAAGATAGAAATTTTTATAAATTGTTTTTCTTTCCCTAAATATAAATGCCAATATAAGATAGAAATTTTTATAAATTGTTTTTCTTTCCCTAAATATAAGTGCCAGTATAAGATTGAGATTTAAGCCATTTTGAGGGGGTTTTGTTTTGTTTCCTTTTAGAAGATGCCCCACATATTTTGCTTTCTTGTGCTAAGAAACTAAAATGCGTCATATCATGTGTTGTAACAGTTCGAGGTGCATGGTAAACAAACTCTTTGTACCTCCATGATTGCCATCTGTTGCAAGATATTATCAAGCCATTTATTAAGGAAAACATTACTTATACTAGGGCAAACTTTAGGACAAAAGTGGGCACATAACAGGATGTTTGGAAACATAGTGGGCTCAATTGTATTATTGTATACTTTCAACTGTGTGTCATAGCCTTACGT